TTAGGTTTTTGACTATTATGTTTAACGGAAAACTATGACCCACCTAGATCGGCTGCTCAGACTTGCGTCTGGAAGAAAATTTTGGTTAAGCCAAAGGCGAGACTTGGTTATCTAGTGAGACCTCATTCACGTTGGAATTTTGATTTTACCTAAATTTTATTGAAACTTTGATGTCACGCAATTCAGTTTTAAATTTAGCTGAATTTTAATGTAAACTGCAACATACACATACAGATACATGAGTACATGCATTTCTGAATTCTATCTAGTGAGAGTCTCACTAGGTAACCAAGTCTCGCCTTTGGCTTAACCAAAATTTTCTTCCAGACGCAAGTTTGAGCAGCCGATCTAGGTGGGTCATAGTTTTCCGTTAAACATAATAGTCAAAAACCTAAATGGACTTTTTAACCCGACAATGGCGCCCTCGCTCCAAATCTAAAATGTTGTCTTTAGAAAAAAGTTTGTTTCGTTGTTATAAGAAATCGCCAATGAAATAAGGGGAACGCACGGCAGAGAAGAAGAAAAATGAGCTGCTCAATACGCGTTTTGGTCTTGCTCAAGGGTGTTCGGTAGCTGGGTTAAAAATAGAACTGGTCCGTAAAAAAATTGTTTCGTTAGTAAAACTTATTAGTTTGTCGTATGTCACATACCAACCGTCGTTGACTACAATTTCGAAAATAAAAAAAAAGTGAATGAAAAATAAATCCAAAAGGAAAACCAAAATAAGAATTATTATTACTTAATTCTCCTCGTTAGATTGTATAGAACGAGAGGAATTTTGTCTGAGAGTACTTCCATACAGGTCCGCTCACTTTATACACGACTTAAAGCCTGGAAGGTTTGACTATATACAATCGATAGCCCTTCTAACGATATGTAAAGTATCTTGTAATACAAAATATCATATTCGGAATCAGAATCAAAAACTGAGTCGATTGATATGTATTTCTATCCTATCCGACTACTTTGATGTTTTTCGAATTTTCACATTGAAAAACTACGGAGATTTTCACCCGAAATTGAAAATCAACTAAAAATTGTAAAATACTTATCAATTGATGTGTATGTTGTACCCAGGTCTTCCGATTACTGGTGCGGCTTTCACCTTTTATACTAAGCTTAATTCTGACATAAATTCTCTTCATGAAAAGAAGCTACAGTTAGTTTAAAAATTTCTGATGTTGATAGAATAAATAGTTTCTCCACAATATTACCGTCTAAAATTGTACAATCTAACACCGAAAATGGTAAAACATTGTATACGGTAGCAACACAAAATAGTGTTATTAAAGAAACGTTTGAATCAATGACTTTTCTAAAGACAAATTTTGCGCAGTTACGAGCTTTTAGTACAGATTTATTATCGATGATAACTTTTATGCGTGTCTTTCAAATTTTTACCAACTTTAAGTCGGTAAGTATATGTAAATATACCGTACTTGTAACACGAAACGGTGTCCATGCAAGACAAAATAATCATAAACGTTGCATAAAATGTCACAAACGACGAGTAAAAAATGTGAAAACTGATGAAAAGATTTGTTTGCTCAAGTTTGTTTAAGTCTAAAGCAGCAAAAGAAATAGCGGTTAAGCCTCATTCACGTTAGAATTTTGATTTTACCTAATTTTTATTGAAACTTTGATCTCACGCAATTCAGTTTTAAATTTAGCTGGATTTTAATGTAAACTGCAGCATACAGATACATGAGTACATGCATTTCTGAATTCCTAACTTCTACAGTTACTGCGGCAAAAAACGTTTTTCTGCTGCAAAACTTTGACTGTATTTTCATGTGATGTTCGAGACATCAAAGGATTCACAAAAATCTTCTAGCAGAAGTCACTTCAAGCCAAACTCAAAATACTTACAATGATTCGAGCTATGTTCTTAATTATTTGCAGCGTATAGCTGCTCCTGCAAATCACAGACATTGCTTCATCCAACAGTAAAACAACAGTTTCTCTAGCTTTTGTCATTTTCGAGAAACGTTCACACAATCTTTTTTGTGTTCCGTATGCTCACTTATGACATCCATTGGAGATGGAATGAACCTAACAACGAAAGGCTCTGTATCCTTTTATTAGCCACTTCCATTGCTCACTCAACGTTATTAACATAACTTATGTTATTGTTGTGTAAACATATTATCATAATTTTAGGTAACACACACACACACACACCTTGAATTCATCTATTGCTGGATGTCTTAAAAATGGTCAAGTTTCTACTGTTCATTTTATTGATAAAAAAGCACTTGATACGGATTTATGTATAGAAACTGGAAGAAATTATTCACAAAATGAATTAATAAAAACACCAAAAAATGGTTTTGTTCGTCTTCGATGGAATCCAACAGAAAAAACATTAAAGTCAAAACTCTGTTCAAATGATCAAAATAATCAACGTTGTATAAAGGGCTATAAACTAAAGGAAAATATGAGAAACTTCATTGAATTAAATTTAGAAATATTTAATACTCAACGAGGTGAAACAAATCCAATTCAAGTAACACCTGAAGGAGAAGATGTGAATGCAAAATTTAGTCCATTTTTTAACCTACAACCAACTTCACAATCATTTAATAATACACTAACAGATGTTTTAAATATTCAACCACAACAACAACAAAATAGTGAACGATTATTATTGTATAAAAAACATTTTCTGATTTACTATCAGATAATAAGTGATCCAAGATTTTTGAATATTTCTAAAAAATTGTAATGGCACTTATTACAAAAGATAACTTGACAAATGATTTTATAAGTTTAACAAGTCTAATATTTTTAGTTCCATTAATCGGAGAACAAAAATTAAAAGCAACATGATTAATTAATTATTATTTAAAATATAAACATTTAGTTAAAGGATATATTTCTTCTCAACAGCATATTAAAATATCATCCTATTTTCTCTATATTACAACCATTTGACAATGATTATGTATTCTTATTCTTTCACAAAAATAGTCGTGCAAAGTAGCTACACCCTTGCAACTCAAGTACCATGATAGCTAGGGGCTTCTAATTTTCTATGATCATAGCTCTTACCCAAGGCTTACCCACCAACTTTGGGACTCTTTTACTGAATGGTTCATGAGATTTATTCCGTTTCCGTAAAATATCAATAGCTCCTGACCTGAGAGAGATGAAAACTTTTTCTTTTGACAAAAATGCAGTCACGACTCTACACTTACAAGGATATGAATTTCGT